GTTACCCATTTTTGCTGCTCAGGGGATGATATCTTTCGCTCCAAAAAGTACTTGAGGCTTTTATGGTCGGTTTTAATTTGAAATCGTCGGCCAATCAAATAGGGTCTCCACCTCGTTGCTGCGCGCACAATGGCGAGCATCTCCTTATCATATGTTGACTTATTTTTATGGGAGGGAGATAATGCCTTGCTAGTGTATGTGAGTGGTCGACCATCTTGCATGAGAATGACTCCAATTCCGACTCTAAATGCGTCGGCCTCAATAATGAAGGGTCGGTTGAAATTTGGTAGTGTTAGCACCGACGTTGTCGTCATGGCTGCCTTAAGTTTGTCGAAGGCAGCGGAGGCTCTGTCCGACCATTGGAAGACATCTTTTTTCAGTAAAGAAGTAAGTGGTGCACTGATCTCTCCATAGTTTTTCATGAACTTGCAGTAGTAGCCTGTTAAACCCAGAAAGTCATGTAGCAATTTTACGTTCCTCGGGGTAGGCCAGTTTTGCATTGCTTCAATTTTAAAGGGGTCCACTGTCACACCTTCCTCTGATATGATATGCCCAAGATATTCCACCTTCTGTTGAAGAAAGCAAAAATTCGTAGTGGTTGTTGTGTGTTCAAAAGGTGGTTTTTGGTATGTCTTCTTCGCACACTCATATTTGATGATACCCGGATCAAAGGTCCAGTTTTGTAAAGATTTATGCTTCTTTTCATCTAGCAATTCATCTGCTATTGGAATAAGGTATTTATCTTTGATGGTTATGCCATTGAGAGCTCGGTAATCAACGCATATTCGTCATGTTCCGTCCTTCTTGCGTACAAGTAGCACCGGTGAAGAATAGAGGTTGCAACTTGGCCGAATAACTCCTGTTTCGAGCATTTCTTTTACAATCCTTTCTATTTCATCCTTCTGGAGATATAGATATTGATATGGCCGAGTATTTGCTGGAGGTTTGCCTGAAAGAATCATTATATAATGATCATGCCGACGGGTAAGAGGTAGGTTGTACGGTTCGTCAAATATATCTGAAAATTCAGCAAGCAAAGGAAGTAGGTTTGGATCTTCAAATTGTATTGGCTCTCCCTTAGTTTGTTGCTCAAGTTGTATTAAAAATCTGCTGCATGCTTTATGCAAAACCTTCTCCATTTGTTGTGTGCAAATCGTCGTTACGTCGCCCCCACGTTTCTCGTTCAGTATCACCTGTTTCTCCTTACTGTAAAATTTCATAATTAGTTGTATAAAATTTCAAGAAATATCACCTAATGTCGTCAACCATTTAATTATGAGCATGACCTCATGATCATCAAGAGGGAGAAGGAAGAAATATGCAATTATCTGTTGGTAAGGCCTCATGATCATCAACAGTTTCACTTGCGGGCGCCTACGATCATACTTCAAAATCCATCCATCGACGACCTTAACGTCATACTTGCTGCAATTCTCAATAGGTAAGGCCATCTGGATAGTAACCTTACTGTTTAGAAAGTTATTAGAACTGCCCGTGTCGATGAGAACAGTGATCGGTTGTTGTTTGAGAAGGCCTCCAACTTTCATCGTTTGCGAGTTTGAGTAGCCGGCTAGTGCATGTACCGTAACTTCAGTCGGTTGTGGCTCTTCTTCTGCATCTTCTTCTTCATGATCAAGGCTCTCTTCTGGATGTTTAATGACCTATTCTTCTATTGGTTCAATCATAAGAAGTCTCCCTTTACTATAGCGATGCTCACGGCTCCACGGCTCGTCACAATGCCAACATAACCCCTTCGCATATCGCTCCCGAAGCTCTTCTCTTGTTAAACTCTTTGGTGTAGGGACTTGGTCGACAATAGGGGGAGCTGAGGGCTTCAATATTACTGGTTGAGGAGCGACCCTAGTCCTCGGAGCTTCATGATTCAATTGCTCCTCTTGATGTCGTACGAAAGAGATGGCTGCCGTAAGCGTATACGGTTGTCGCGCTTTAACTTCTCCTCGGATCTCTGGCTTCAAGCCCTCAATGAAGGTCCTCAATAGCTGTTTTTGAGACCAATAATGAGTTTGATTAGATAACCTTTCAAACCTGGTTTGGTACTCCTGAATGGTGGAGGTTTGTCGGATCTTTTCTAGTTGTCCGTCAATATTCTCGTAATCGGTTGGTCTGAAGCGGATCAGCAGTCCTTCTTTGAATTATCGCCATGAAAGGACTCCATAAGTATGTTTAAACCAATCAAACCACTGTATAGCATCCCCTTCGAGATGTATAGCTGCAATTTTCACCATAGATGCATTCGCGGTTTTATGGTACCGAAAATATTGCTCCGCGCGCGAGATCCAACCAATTGGGTCTCCTTCTTCCCATCTAGGGAAATCCACTCTCATGCATGGATAGTTAGGGTTGGTCATAGAGCTTCCCCTCTCTTGGAAGCCATATCTTTGGTCTTGGTGCGATTGGGCAAAGCTCTCTCCTTGATGTGATTTCTTCGGGCTTAGTGGTCGGCCCAATCTGAGTTCGGTAAAGAGCGTCCGAATCTTGTCCTCCATTCGCGCCTCGAAGGCTTGGAATTTAGCATTGATTACCTCCTCAGATGCTATAGTATATGCCACCAAATCTGTGATGTTAAGATCTCTCTTTTGTTGTCGGGTTAAAGGCATGTATTGGTTGAGAGAGGTGAAGGTCGAAAGGATTGGTAGATCGGTGGATGTAGGCTACGGTTTAGGCTTGTTTTGTGGCTATTTTGGGTGCAGTTTGAGGGTGTGGTTTGGGGGAGTTTTAGGGCTGTAGATGAAAGTTTTGGATTTGTGGTAGATGGTAGCAAAGGTTTGATAGAAATAAGTGGAAGTTGCAGCAAGTATGTGCTGTCTTGTAAGAGTAGAATTGTCGTCGAAGAAATAACGATTTCTCGACGTAATTTCCACCAAAAACTTGAGAGAATTGAGGAGGGAATTGATAGCACAATCACAGTTTATATGACAGCAAGGATATTTAATTTAATCAAGAAAATTTCGGCGGTATAACAACAAGGAAATTGGTGCAAGTTGCGATAGCAGAATTCTCGTCAAAAAATTTCAGCGGTTTACGATGAAAATTTGCAGCAACACAAAATCGTTTTTATAGATGAATTCCTCAATAGATCAATCTTAGATGGAAGCCAAGATGATCTATGAAGTGTATAAGAAATTTCATTAAAAAAAGATTGCAAATAGATGGGTTAAGGCAACAATATGCGGCTGAAATTTTCTGCAGTACAGATTTTTAAGTATAGCAGATTGGACGTAAAAGATCAGTAGTTTATATTGAGAATATTTTGATGAAACCAAAGGGAAATCCACTATTAGGAAGTGTCAAAGCTATCATAAAAATTTTGTAGAGATTTGGATGGAAACAACGTAGTATCAAGATAAAAGAAATAGTGTTATGCGGCTGAAATTTTACAGTGCAGATTTTCAAGTATAGCAGATTAGACGTAAAATATCAATGATTTATATTAAGAATTTTTTGACAAAACCAAAGGGAAATCTGCTGTTAGGAAGTGTCAAAGATGTCATAAAAATTTCGTAGATATTTGGATAGAAAAAACACAGTAGCAAGATCAAACAGACGGTGCTATACGGTTGAAATTCTGCAATGTATCTTTCGTCGTAGAGATGAAAACTTTATGACGAAAAGTTTATGCGGCAATATAGGAATAATTTTTTTGGGATTTTTAAATAAGGATAACTAAATTGCAGCAGCAGTAAGGTAGAAAACCAGAACCTGTTGCAATTCACGGGGAGATCAAAGGATGATCCGTGGTGGTGGAGATGACGGCGGAATTTGGCGACGATCTTTTAAGCAATTGTGGGAATTGTTTTGGGCGGTTGTGGAGGGTTGATGGATGGCTGTGGAAGGGCAGCGAGACGCTAAGAACGCTGCTATGATACCAGGTGTTAGAACCCTTGCAGATTCTAAACTTAGGGTTGATCTCTTTAGGGGATCGGCCTCCTTGGAACTTTATAGGGGTTCCTCCCTCCAAGTTGCTGCTCAAAGGCTGCAGAAAAGATTCATCTATTGCTTATGAAAAGAGATGTAATATATGACTATTTATAGGGCTTGTAAACCCCAACTCCTAATAGGACTCTTACTTAAGACTCCTACTTCTAACCAACTCCTAATAGGACTCCTACTCAAGACTCCTACTTCTAACCAACTCCTAATAGAACTCCTACTCAAGACTCCTATTCCTTTACAACTCCTTATTCTTCTCTAAGAAATAACCTCCTAACCCTAGCCGGCCACTTCACCTCTTTAATAGGGGTCGGCTTAGGTAGGTTTTACATGAATGTCCCTCTCAATTAAGACTCTCCTAGCTAGAGTCCTAACATGCCTTTAGTATACCTAATAATGCAATGCTTCTAAAATAATGCTTTTAATGAGCACATGCTAGGTGAAACTCCAGTCATCTGAATTAAGTATCTTTATGCTTCTATGTATTCCACATGCATTTCATCCAAGCAACAGGTACGGATTGGACCGGATGATGAAATAAATGGTGCTGCCAGCGTATGAGCACATTTACATAGGTGTGATTGTTACCATCACTGAAGAATTGCAAACATGACAAATTTGATTTCTTTTGACAATGACATGTTTCTGTTTATACACACATATCTGATGATCCTTTTTCCCCATTTTTCTTTTTTAGGGTTGGGGCTGGGGTGGGGCAAGTGAAACTGTGATAGTCACTGATGTATTTACATACTTCCGACCCAATTCATCCATGTTCTATTTGATTAATATTTTCAGTCAGACGCAAGGGCCAGCATGTTGGTTATGCTAGTTTTTATTGGTCAGTATGTATTCTGTAAGCATGTTAATGACATGGGGCTCCATATCGTGCCAAATATGTGCTGACATACCCTTTATCTGTGGATGCAAACTGAAACTGAAATCTGTGACTGGAAGTAATGTTATCAATAGGAGAGCAATGATACCACAATGCATGTAGCTTTTACGAAGTAAATTGCATATTAGTTATTCATAATTGTATTTTTCAGGATCAAAATGACTTCATCTTAGGGAATTTGAAAATAGCTCCAGATATTTATGAAGCCCTTTTACATGGAAATCCAGTTGTGGCGCTGGAGTCGACAATTATTTCTCATGGTAAGAATATATCAGTGTGATGATAAGGCAGGCTTACCTTTTTCAACTTCAGCTGTACTGAAACTTGTTTTGGTCAACAATTAATTATCTTGAATAAAGTAAACCAATTTTCTAATATATTGCTAATATTAATATTTTATATTTGTGGTAGTGATTAACGACACAGCTATGTAGTATTATTATGCGAGCTTGCCATTTTACCTTTTTGACTTGAGCTGATTCTGTGATGTTCATCTAAAAAATGAACATCCTAAAGATTGTAGGATTGTTATGAAACTTTTGATATGGACCAAAAATTTTCTGATTGCATATGCATGGTTGTCTTTGATGACTGCAACAAGGATAACAAGTGATTGGTTGTAATCATATTGGTGATATATATATGTATACATATATATATTTATGTATATATATATATATATGTATAGATACATATATATATATATATACATATATATATATGTATACATACATATATATGTATAAATACATATATATATATATATATATATGT